AGCAATAGTTTCCCCTTCACATATCAATGTATATATATATTGCCACAAATAACACTATGAGCAGCCAATGGTTTACACATACCTATATCTATATCACTATCATCATCCTCGTCATCTTCCTCTTCATCACCTCCTTCATCGCCACCATTGCCTTCTCCTCCTCCAGCATTAGCAGTAGTACTATCATCATAGACATAACCTATGGATACCCTCTCCTTAGACAACCTGAAGAGATGCAATATGAACTCATGTAGAATTGTGGCTTCACAAAACTCCCCCATTGTAATTTACAGTTTACATGTGAATGATACGACTACTATATGATATCACATCCCATGCACCTCCACTTGACTTTTTTTTTTTTCTATATTAAATTTAGTTAACTACACTAGCTACCGTATTTGCTCTATTAGAAGTGAATCCCCCAATAACTGTATACTGAATCAATCAAATATTACTCTTCTACGTAAGCACATGCACTACTAACAGAGTAAATGCAATCTATCCTAACTATAAATAACTTATAGTACAGATCTGAATACTCCAAGAGAATTCAGGGAGGTTTGCTTCCAAGTAATCAATCTATTCACAATGAAGTTAACCTACATAACCAAAGTGACAAAGAACTGCACAAAAACCCTGAACAGGAAAAGAAAGTGGGACCAACCTTTCTTTGTCATCATTCTTTTTCTTCTCGGCACCAAATAGTTCATCCAGGTAAATCTGATAGAGAAACTGTTCTTCAGTAACTGAAACGAATAACATTTTACAGAAATCAAGACAAGTAGTAGACCAGCAATAACCAGGGCTCAGAGGGAAAATTAAAATAATCATATACGCATATACGTCAACATTACAGGCAATTTTCTAACGTTACTGCAAATTGTGATTATTTACAAATGTATGATACATAGATACAATGGACCTTACCGGTAGTTGCAAATAGGGAACAAAGATCTCATTGAGAGTGAGAGATCAACAAGACATGTTTTTTTGCACCTGAAATGTGATTCATTCTCTTCCATTATTACTAAACCATGCATAGGGGGGTACTGTAAAATATTTAATTTTAGCTGGAATTAATTTTCGCTGAAAAAAACTTTTTGGGTGTGTTGTTATATTTTCACTGATTTTTGTCAAGTTGAATGTAAAATATAGGAAAAAAGGTATATTAGCTGGTTTTTATTTTCACTGAATCATTTCTCCAGTGAAAATAGCGAAAATCACTGTATTTGGCACAGCGAACATGAATAAGAGAAAAAACACTAGTTGAAGTGCAAAAACAAGTCTTCTCGCTCCAACAAGAACTCAACCAACGCCCATTTGCATCAAACGTCTATTGAGCATGAGAATTACGTGTGAACAGAGAAGTTGTGATTCATTTATTTTATTACCAGCCAACTAACTGACTGGTTTGCAATGCAAGTCTTGAGACTGTTTAGAACTGCTTAGTTCAAACCATTTTTACCAGGGTGTACCATCTGACTAAATGCACACATTTACGAGTGTTATGACATGCACCAGACACGCCAGTGACTGTGTCCTGACATTTCAAACTGTGGAAGTACAAAAATTTTGTTTGGATGACTTTGCCATTTACTTTATAGCAATTTATATGATTGTATTAAAAAAATAAAAAGCAATTACATTGTGATATTCTATTTATATTTAATGTGTCCAAGTTCCCTACTATTAGTTAGATGGCTCACGTTGTGGTTGGTTTGACCCTACTTATTCTAATGATGGCAGGGTTTGCGCTAATGTCTTGGCAAGAAATTGAAATTTGACCCTGGATAATTTTATTAGAGATTGGACCCCAGCTTGCCTGAAAAACTGGGTCCAACTTCAATAATTGGAGTACAGGAAGCAAAATATGGGGTTAACGCAATCCCTGTAGATGTTATGATCTCCAGGCACGCACAGCAAACATGACACTGTTGATAGTAACTAGACAGTGACGTTTTTATTTTAAATTCCAATTAAATGAACCAAAATAAACAAGTTTCTAGACGTAAAACACAGTGACTCATAGAAAATCAGAGATATCAAGTATATTCTGAGAGTATTATTACTTAAATGATTGGCACTCAGTGATAAACATGCGCCATTATGTTTCAGGAATAAAAAAAAAATCAACAACAAAAATATATACACGCTCCACATAATGAACCTGATAAGCTGAATTAATTTCTGCTGTACCATGGAATATCTTTACTAACTCAAACATATACACAAATTAAATGATACTTACTTCCAGCCCAGTCACTTTGCACTAGTGTTCTATAACGTTCATAGTTGCATTTTCTTTCTTCTGCATCAAGGTCTTGGAACGGTGAATGATTATATTCAGGAATATAATCCAAATGTGCTCTAACATCAAATCTATCAATCAGATTATGAGCATCTCCCTGCCACGGCATCCTATCATGTTTGTTTTGTTTAAATAAAAAAATGCAACAAGATTTGTTAGTAGAGTTCAGATCAATAATGATTTCAAAGGAGACCACAGGATGATAGAACAACACACATATATGTACAAGGACTCAGCTACTTATGGCAGATGCGATTTCAAAACTGTGTCAGTATATAACACAGTCATTTACCAAATATTGTCTTTGATTCGTCGAGAGTGAAGTGTCAGGAGTGCGGACAACCATAGTATTGTAATTTGCATGCTTGCACTTGCACTAATTTTGTACTTTTTTTTATTCCTAGTGAGGTAATTGACTTGATTAGTGCAAATGACTCTTACCAGAATACCAAATAAAACAAAACATTGAACTAAGGAAATGTAGCAATAGAATCATGCCAATATTACTCACATTGTTCCAGGTCCCTCAGCAGCCATTGCTACAGCAGGATCCAGGTTTATTTTACATGGCCGTCCATGAAGGCGAATAAACTGGGTAGGGTCTAGTTTCTGCAAAAAATAATCAAAGAAAGCTTAGAAAGAACTCTGTGTGCTGAGAGTATTGGAGACACATTAAAAGTTAATTCAATATTACTTGAACTTGAGATATTGATGGAAAAGCTTATGCAAATAGGGTAACTAATATGAACAGATTTAAGTGTAAAACTAATAAGGTCTGCACAATGTAAAAGATTTTCGTAATATAATATCTATGTACCAAGTTTCATTGAAATGTGATTAGAACCAAAAAAATATTAATTATTATGCTAATTAGTGAATTAATATGAACAGATTTTAACCCAAAATTAATCAGGCTGCCTATTGTCCTAGAGCATTTATGTACCAAATTTTATTCAAATGTGATGATCAGTACTTGAGATACAAGTAATAATTAATTATGTTAATTAGGTGATTAAGAAGCATAAATATTTACCAAAACCTAATATGGTGTATAGTCCTAGATTCATTGAAATGTGGTGATGAGTACTCTTTAAAAGTGTCATTAAAATTCAATGAGTAGTTCTTTAGATATCAGTGCAACAGTCATGGAACAGCAAAAAATTAACTATTTATGAAATTAGGTAATTAATATGCGAAATTATTTACCCCAAAATTAATCAGGTCTCAGCATAGTCCTAGAAGATCTATGTTGCAAGTCATGTGATGATTAGTACTTGAGATATCAGGTGAAAAGCTGAAAATTAACTAATTATGCTAATAAGGTAATTAATATGCACAAATATTTACCCAAAAACTAATTAGGTCTCTGCACAGTCCTCAAGTAACTATGTACCAGGTTTCATTGAAATGTGATCATTATTGCTTGAAATATCAAAAGCTGAAAATTAATTAATTATGCAAATTAGGTAATTAATATGTACTGAAATTACCCTAAAAACTATCAGGTCTGTGAAGTGTCATATGTCATCTATGTACCAAGTTTTATTGAAATGTTATGATTACTGTAAAATCTGTATTAGAAGCTGCGGCTTCTATTAAAATGGTACAATACAACAGAAGGGATGCTGCTTCTATTAGAGCATCTACACATACGAGAAATGGTGAATTTTTGTTCTCAAAAGAATGGGTGCGACTTATATTAGAGATGCGGCTTCTAATACAGATTTTACGGTAGTACTTGAGATATCAGTGGAAAAGCCGAAAATTGATTAATCATTATGTAAATTAGGTAATTAATATAAACCGATTTTTACCCAAAACTAATCAAATCTGCACATTAGTTCAGAGCATCCATGTGCCAAGTTTCATCAAAATACAATGAGTAGTTCTTTAAATATAAGTGGAACAGTCATGGAACAGCTGAAAATCGGTTAATTATCATGCAAATTAGGTTATTAATATTCATGAATTTTTACCCAAAACTAATCAAATATGCGTATTAGTTCAGAGCATCCATGTGCAAAGTTTCATCAAAATCCAATGAGTGGTTCTTCAGATATCAGTGGAACAGTCATGGAACAGCTAAAAATTATGCAAATTAGCTAATTAATATTCATGGATTTTCACCAAAACCTAATCAACTCTGCGCATTATTACAGAGCATCTATGTACCAAGTTTCATCAAAATTTGATTAGTGGTTCTTGAGATAACGGTGGAACAAAAAAAGTGACATACATACATACATACATACAGACATACAGACAGGGTAGCTGCAAAGACTCCCTTTTGTGCTTCGCACACGGGAGTCAAAAATACAGAATATGTCAAGCTAGACAGAATGCATCGTAAGACCCTTCTATCTATGCAAATAAAAAATAATATCTTGCCTTTTTAACATGGAAAAACATCAATGATATATTTATTTTGAATCAAACACCGAGTCTAAACCCTAACAATATATTATAAGAAGCGCTAACCAATTCTGTGATTTACTTTGAAATGCGCCTCTTTATCACACCAGAGATAAAGAAATTGAGCTTTTGCTTTAGCATAAATCATGATTTCACAACTGTCTCATTTCAGTTGTACTAAATTTGGTCTAGTTCCTATGCAAATCACATTCAATCAGCTTCACTCTAATGGGAGTGGTCAACCAATTATCGCAAGTCTTACCACAAAGCGATCTGCTGTTTTGCTGTTGTGAGATTTGAAGGTGACTTTGCATAGGTAGTTGTCAAGATGCTTATTGGGAGATGTATACCAGTGACTGAAATTGAGATTGAAGGTGACTGCACCTGAAACCTCTCCATACATTGAATATTATATAATAAGAATGAATGTGTCACCCATCCACCCCCTCACCCAACTCAACTGTACAGTTGTAGTACACCCAACTTCAATTGTGTGCTTACAGTTTTTGAACTTTACCAGCAGTATTGTAATATCATATGTTTTGCAAACAAAATAGTAATATTGATAGTTAAGTTGTAACAATTTGTAATGATAAGCTGATATCAATATTGCTACTTTGTTATCAAAACTGTGAACTTTGCAATATTCTGGTTGGGTTGCTTTTTTCGTTCACAGTAAAAAGTAAATTGAAATTAGTTGTAAATCATTTATAACGACCTTCATCTAAAATGTCTACCAAACACCCTTGATAAAACTGTAAGGCGTTAAAAACTTAAAAGCCTAGTAGACGTTTTGTAGGAAGGTGTTTATAACAGTTACCAATTGACGTGACATCGTTATTATTAGATACATGCTTAGAATTAGATGTCACATACGCAGCCGATACAGAATTATTGGCATTTTCTATTTGTAGAAGTCTTACATATGCATAATATTCTACTCGTGACTGCATGACTACAATGACAAATAATATTTTTGGACGATAGCATCGGATAAACTTCATAACGAAGATTATTCCAGTTAGCAGTACAGCATGCATGACTGCGAGGGGGACTTCTTTGATGTTTCATTTTTGTAGACTTACGATTTTCTCATAATATTCCCTCCTCCTTTCGGCCCGTTTCTTGTAGTCGACCATCATGCCACGGAGCTTTCGCTCCTGTTTCCGCGCTTCGTGCCACATATTTGGGTTTCATGTAATGCACGGTAAGAAGTTAGGCAAAAATGGAATAATTTCCACATAAGCCAGAATGCCGACCACAATCAGCGTCCGCCATGTTGAATTTGTCCAGAATTGTCCATATCACAATGGGAGAGAAAGGTATAAATAGGAGGGTGAGGATTGTTAGGTTTTGGGGAAATTATGTCTGCATTGAATGTAATACTAATTATTGTGCGAAATATTGGTTGTTGTATTTATTCTCTACAAAGTTGCTTTAAAATAGCAATAATATGTGACAGGTTACTGAGGTGGGGTGAATTCTGTCCCCTAACTCATTTGCAAGGGTGGGGATGTCCACTGTACGGATTTCTACGATCAGGTGGCATCCGCGTTCCAGATACAATTTCTGGAAAGTGACATTTGAAAGAATATGTTAATGACATTGGACAAATATGTAGAAAACTTTGAATAATATGTATTTAAATTTCAAATTTACGAAAATAAAAATAAAAAATAGGTCAACAGTGTACGACTGTCATCCGTTTGAAATAATGTCGCCCCTGCCTCTGCCAAACAACCGACGCTGTAATTGGTTAATATCCATTTACACATGAAACACCATTTTTGATTGGTTCAAATTTAGTAGCTGAGAAAGCCGTGGAAATTTCCATTTCTCCTATTCTACTCTATCACTCTTTCTCTCTTTCATGGCGACTAATCGTGTATGTTCTGTTGCTGTATATATCGACCAGAAATTAAGAACAGCTGCCATTGTAAGTGTGTTAATACTTTTTATTTTCGTCTGTATCTGTGTTTAACTTTACTGAAAAATTAACCGACCGTAGATTCGTTCACCGAGCTAAGGTTGACCTTTAGCATTTAATACATAGGCCGTCTATAATTGCTGTCGTTGGTACCCGGGTTTCCTGAATATTTTAATTCAATTTACAGCCTTATTTTAACCATGTCAGTGGTGATATTACATTTACTGACTTATTACGAAACACATTACAGCGTGTCTGTGAATACTCATCGCGATCAAAATACATGACATGTCATTATATATTGCGTTGCGTATGTGTGTCTGGTGACACGACTATCGAGGCCCGACAGGTTGACCTCAAACTGAACCCACAGACTTCCTCAATGTGTACACGTTCTTTTTCTTTTTTATTTTACCGTACGTGCGCGCCAGTTCTGACTGTAATCGGTGTTAATGGAAATCTTAACCTTCGAATACACAGTGATGTAGTGTTCGTGCTTTTAACTAGCTGTGTTGCTAATATAATTATGCAAGTTCACGTTATTATCTTTATTGTTTTGGGTATTTCAATGTTGTCTTACAACAGATCAATTAATTTTTCATCAACATAATAAACTGAAGAAATGTTGAAACTTCCTTCAAGTTAATTCACGGTGTATCACAATATTTCGTTCCATCGCAAATTAGCAGTCTTACTGTTATTCTATTTTGAAATGTATGTAAGGGTGCCATTGCATGATATTTGAGCATGGAAAAGGTGAGAGCAGTTTCATCTATATGCCACTTGACGTGTATAGACAAAACAGACTTGCGTATGGAATTCTAATCACTATAGAATCTACGCACAAACAAGACCGAGTGTGGCAATAAAATACAACTTACAAGTTGGAATAAAGAAAATTAATTTGCAAATCTTACTGGCTTTGTGGGCTTGCATGCAGATTTCTAATTATTTATGCCAATAAAATAGGCACGATATTGAATAAGTTGAGAATACAGCGAAAATCATTGCAGTTTGAAACAATGTTTACATTTTTAATTGAATGAGCCAAAATAAACTAGTGTCTAGACGTAACACACATTGAATAAAGGAAAGTGAAGGGATGATTATTAGAAACCAATTATTGTTTCAGTAAATCGCCAAATAAAATCAAATGTTGCATAATGTTGAAGTGTGGAGCTGATTAATTTCCGCCAGAAATAAAATATACGTGTATCAAACATGTTGAGAATAAATAAAATGGATGCGAGTGTTGTAATGTAAGGGGTAATAGCCACATGCTCCGTTTTGACATGGATGAATCCTTTCCATGTGAACACCTTATTAGAACCAGTAACGCTAAGGTTATTTGATACTGAAGTTTTTATTGAACTTTAGGAGCCAATCAATCAATAACTAGTTTGTTCATATTTGAAGATTGAACAATGACTTGGTTCTGCTATTAAATACACATGTATGTTACAAATTTATAGGCAACAATGTCACAGCATATCATAGGCTACTGTTCTTCAGTGAGAGACATTTGTTGTCAGACATCTGCAGCATGCTTGCTGTGCTCTCGCTGTCGCTCGCAAATGTCGTAAATTACGAAATTTGTACAAGATTTACGAACAAAATAAATATCTATTAGTAAAATTTACGAACACATTTTGTACAAAATACCCTCGCAAATCGCCCTCATTTAATTGTCAAGACTCGACTGTGATCATCACGCGTGTTACGGTTTGAGTGATTGCCATTTTAAAGTTAAACAATGTCCCGTTACTTCTAAGATTGCAACAATTGTTACATGGTGATCGCGATCAACACGGAACTGCCACTGAATGTATTTTTCCACTCTAAAGTTATTTTGGTGTCATCGCACATGCGTAGTTTAGTCGACGTGTGTTTCAAGATACCCCGCGACATTACTCTCAGTATGGAACGGTTTCATGTCGCCCTTATCAAACACGTGATTTGTTTATTTATTGAAAATGGAGACTA